AGGAAATTTGTTATTGATTTTCATTTCTACTCTGAAATTACGTGAAAGCTCAATGGCTTGTAGCAGTATCTCGGTCAATAAGGCTCCATTTGAGACCACCTTGAAGTTCAATTCTCTCCCAGTCCTTTTAAACTTACTCTGGGGTCAGATTCTTTTGTATTTCATCATCTTTGGTGCTGAGATATCAGGAAGCTTTTTATTCATAACACAACAGAGAGGATTTTGCTAAAAGTAAAACCGAAGTGTTCCCAGACACCAAAGTTCTACCCCTCCTTTTTGGTTACAAATCAACATTGCCAAACACCAAACCTGAAAATCCAAGGAAAAAAAGAGATCAAGAAGGTGAATAGTAGGACTCTTTATTGTAAAGTGATTTTTTTTTCAGCATTAAGGTGTTACTGGGTTTTGGGGGAGTTTGAACGGCAGAGGGACTAAGTGCAATGCTTTATCCCGTGGGGATAGGGGAAGGTCATTTATGTCAGACTCACCATTACGTGTGTGCACATTTTGTTCATAATACTTGTTAATGTTTATTGAACATTTACTGCACGTTAGTATGCTAAGTCTTTATATGGTTTCTGTTCTGTAGGGAAGCAATAAGTCGCCTGTGTGAAGCTGTCTCTGGGGCAAATGGAGCCATTAAAAAGCGAAAGGTAAATATTGGTGTGGTTTTCTTGTTCTCTGTTTCTCTAACTAGGGGAAAGAGAATATCAAAATAGTTCATTCTACCATAGGAGCTAAAGTGCAGAATGGCCTTTACCAGTTGGCGTGGTATCAGAGATGCACTGAAAGTTGGTCTTGTCTCCCACATTTTTCTGACTTGCCTGACACTCTCTGAAATGGTGATGTTTTGAGCGGTGGAATGGAGAAAGCACCTGGGGTTCAAGTAAAAAAATCTGGGTTCCAGTCCTGGGTGTTTACTTACCTTTGGGCCTGGTCTCTCCTCTCTCTGAGACCCCATGCTTGTTCCTGTAAAGTAAAGTTAAACCAGATGACCAGGGTGGTACCTTCCAATTTCAGTATTTTATAATGTATCTATTCTGCATTTTAACATTTAGAATTTTTAGATTCCTTGGCCCATTTTCAAATGGAAAGGTGGGTGCTGGTAGGGGTGAGATAATAACACATGAGTAGAAGGAAATTTTCATGCTGAAAGAAAGCATAAGATGTGATGTTACATAGACTTGGATTTAAATCCTGACTCTGCCACCTACTGTGTGATCTTGGACAAGTCCTTTCACCTTTTGCATCATTGGTTTCCCCGACTGTAAATTGGGAGAAAAGAGCACATACTTTATAGAGTTGTGTAGAATTAAATGAAATGGTGTCTACACAGTGTCTGGCATATATTAGGCTTTCAATGGCAATGGTAGTTAGTATTATTGCTATTTAGTTGTCAACCCTAGAACATTTAGTTGTTTTGGAATGTGCAAAGGGGAGGTGCAAAGGGTTTTAAGATAACTATGTAAATCATGGAATTGTAGATTGTTTAAGAGAGAAGGAATTTTTAGAGATCTTCCAGTCCAACCCTCCCATTTTGCCAGCTACTATACTGGTTCAGAGAAGATGGTTGCCTTGAGTCACTCCGATGATGGTGAGAGCCAGCTATAGAAACCAGGTCTTCAGATTTCCAGCTTTGTGCTTTATTTCCATACCACCCTGCCTCATTCTTTATTAGTCTTCATTATTTTGCATAGGGCTGAACCCAGTGTCACCCAGAGTGACTCAGATGAGCCACAAGGCATGGAAAAACACTGATAAGTGGCCTTTGAGTTCTATTAGAACTCCCTATTTAGTAGTTTCTTTGACAAAACCCATGGCCCCAAAGTAGCCTCTGGCCTCCTCCTGCCTCTCATAACCTCTGCAAATAGGATGCTTTTACTGGATGGTCCCAGCAAACAGGCTCACTCATTTAAGACTCCTTCCAAAAATAGGGAGTCCACACCCCAAAAACAAAATAAAGCAAAACAAATGAGGTTATCATCTTTCCAGAAAGTACACATGGAAAGAAAAATATATTGAGTTAATTTCCTTTGATAGCTAGCATTGATTGCATACTTAATACATGCCAGGGACCCTTTATGCACTATATTATCTTTATACTCTTTTTCCTCCCAATTAAAAAAATTGTGGTAAAATATGCATAACATAAAATTTTAACCATTTTAACCATTTTTAAGTGTACCGCTAAGTGATACTACATACATTCACATCATTGTGCAACAATTGCCCCTATCCATCCCCATGACTCTTCATCTTGTAAAACTGAAACTCTATACACATTAAACAATGACTCCCCAGTCCCCCATTTCTCCAGCCCTGACAACCACCATTCTACTTTCTGTCTCCTTGAATTTGACTACTTTTAAGTACCTCATCTGAGTGGAATCATACAGTATTTGTCTTTTTGTGACTGGATTATTTCACTTCATATAATGTCCTCAAGATGCATCCATGCTTAGCATGTGTCAGAATTTCCTCCCGTGCTCATTTCAGCAGCACATGTACTAAATTGGGATGATACAGAGAAGATTAGCATGGCCCCTGGGCGAGGATAACATGCAAATTCATGAAGTGTTCCATACTTTTGTGACTGGGTGGTGGGCGTTAAAGAGGGCACTTGAAGTAATGAGCACTGGGTGTGGTACAGAACTGATAAGTCACTAAATTCTACCTCTGAAATTCATAATACAGTGTATGTTAATTAAATTGAATTTAAATAAAAAAAAAAGACTTTCCTCCCTTTTCCTAAGGCTGAATAATATTCCATTGTATATATGTAACACATTTTGCTTATCCATTCATCAGCTGATGGATACTTGGGTTGTTTCCATGTTTTAGCTATTGTGAATAATGCTGCTATAAATATGGATATACAACTATCTATTCAAGTCCCTGCTTTCAGTTCTTTGGGGTATATAACAAGCGGTAGAATTGCTGGATCCCATGGCAATACTGTTTTTGATTTTTTGAGGAACTGGAAACTGCTATTCTGTTTTCCATAGTGGTTGTACTATTGTACATTCCTACCAATAGTGCACAGGATTTCTCTCTCTCCATGTCCTTTCCAACACTGGTTATTTTCTAGTGTTGTTGCTATTTCTGCTTTTGTTTTTCACTAGTTACAGGTCTATCTAGATTTTCTATTTCTTCATGATTAAGTCTTGGTAGGTTTAATGTTTCTAAGAATTTGTCTATTTTATCTAGGTAATCCAGTTTGGTAATGTGCAATTGTTCATAGCACTCTCTTATTATGCTTTTTGTTTCTGTTGAATTGGTAGTTACATCCCCACCCCACTTTTGTTCCTGATTTTAGTGATTTGAATCTTCTTTCTTTTTTTCTTAGTCCATCTAGCTAAAGCTTGGCCAATTTTGTTGATATTTTTGAAGAACTTACTTTTGGTTTCATTGATTTTGTCTATTGTTTTTCTAGTCTCTGTGTCACTGATTTCTGCTCTAACCTTTATTATTTCCTTCCTTCTACTAGCTTTGGGTTTAATTTGTTCTTTTTTTGAATTCCTTAAGCTGTAAAGCTAGGTTCTTGATTTGAGAGCTTTCTTCTTTTTTTAATGTATGTGTTTATAGTTATAAATTCCTCCCTTAGCACCACTTTCACTGTGTCCCATATGTTTGGTATGTGTGTTTTTCATACTTTTTTTAATGATCACAAAAAAACCCAGACAGCAATTCTTTCTTTTTTTAGACATCTGGTCTTCAAAGGGCCTGGAGAGTTCAGCTAGCCCAAACTCTCATAGGAATTACATTTATATAAAGCAGACCCCTACTTCCAACACTTGGGGAGAAGGGAATGTATCAGAAAAGTTCTGAGGGCTCAGATTTCACTACTTACTAAAAAAGTTTGCTGCATTCCATTTTTTAAAACTTTTCATTAAAAAAGAGGAGGGATTCCATCTCATTTGTTTTGTGTAAAGTAAAATAGAGAGGAAGAACATGTGTTTCGACCCATTTTTAACACTTAAAAAGATTAATGTTATTCTGTAACAAAATCCTTAACTTAGTGTTGTTTTGCTATTTTTAAAGCCTCCAGTTAAGTTCCTATCTACAGTTCTTGGCAAAAGTAATCTTCAGTTTTCGGGAATGAATATTAAACTGACCATCTCAACATGCAGCCTCACATTGATGAATATTGACAACCAACAGGTAAGATCATGAATGTCATTTATAGTTTAACATATGTATTTTTCTAGAAAAGTCTGGGCATAATAAAGAAAATAAAGTTTCAGAGTGTCCCTTAAATTTAATAAGGCACAAGGGAAAAAAATCTGCCAAGGATTTATGCATAACAATAATTAGAACAACAGTATCATTAACCCATCACTGGCATTTAACTGCTTGCGTACTTGCCTCTACCTAATTGGCTTTGTAATAGGGATTAAGGTGCAAATAACATTGTAAAGACCATTTGGCAAATCAAATTCTTGAGTCGGTTGTTTATTACTTTCCACCAGTGCTCCCCAAAGGGAAAGCAATTCCATTTTCAGAACTAACAGACTGTGTGTTGGATGGGTGGTACAAATGAAGGACAGAGGGGAAGGGTGATGTGAGGGTTAATATTCTAGCAGACTGAAATTTAAGCATAAAACATTTTCTTCCAACTTTTAAGGTTGAAATGCTTTGTAAAATGTTATTACATAAACACAGTTTTTTTTCTTCTTTGATGATTTATGATACCATGGTATGCCTGAGTTCTCATTGTGAACCTTATTTCTCAAAGAACAGCATCGCTGAAGCAAATATAGAAGATATACAGGCACTGGACTAAATGTGTACCTTCAACTAGGGCACTGTTTGACTTGCTTTCTCTTTTTTAAGCTGAATTCCGTATATCAGGTTATTTATGTGTGTTAGAGTTTAATTCTTCTTGGTCTAATACGTTGTGATTCGAGGTTCTTAACATTTAAGGTTTTACTCTATGGAGTACTGTTGATTAGGGACTCATGGAAGGTTGAACGTGTAGTTGGCTGTGATAAAATACCAGGGGCTTGAAGGTCACATATAAGTTGAAATCCTGGCTCTGCCACTAACAAACAAGTTACTCCATCACTCAATTTTCCCATTAGTGAAATGACATTATAGTACCTATTCACAGAGTTTCTGAAAGGATGGATTTAGCAATAGTATGTAGCATTGGGTTATTTAGAGGATTAAGTAAGATCATCAATGTAAATCACTTAGCACAGTGCAGTACCTATTATTATTATTTACTCAAACATTTTTCCTATTTCCTTGAGACATTTTCATAAACTCAGTACTTAACAGGGAAAGCATATTTTAAGACATAAAATTGTAAAATTTTCAGTAACATATAAATACAGTTATATACATTTTTGACTCCAGTGTTTTTGCCAAAAAATTCACTTGCAGTTTTGAGGGCTGCTTTGTTTTCTAAGTTCAAAAGCAGAGTAAAATATATTGCTTCACAGTAGTATAAAACTCCATTGAGGAAAATGCTTAATATGAAATAGCTCAAAATAAATTCCTGTCTAGCTGGGTCCTGATTGGTTATCCAAGAGAGGGGATACCGTTGGTATAACGACAGCAGAACATTTGAGGCTGTGCTTGGGAGATGCAACAAATCTATGTGGAAGAGAAACAGTCTTTCAGATGCTTTGCCCATAAGACATTTGTAAATGTAAAATTTATTTTTAATTTTCACCCATGTGTATGGTACCAAGGGTGCTTATTGCCTTGAGCTTTGAGGTCTCATTGAGTATAGAAGCACTTGAATTATCTCAGAATTTTGTAGGGGAGGAAGAGTAAGCAAATCTACAGCCATTATGGTGACGGCCTTATGTGCAGAATATAACGAGCATTTAAAAAAAATGGTTCTTTCTATGCGGTGACTGAAGGAATGGAGAATTTAGGAAGAATAGGGTTGTGGTATTTATCAGTAGGGGGCATAGTTTATTCTCATTACTTTCTCTTCTACTACAGTTTTTCTGGGCTACTGCAATTAGAGGGGGTATTGTCACATGCCCTTCATCTTTCTGGCAGAACAGAAGTAGGGACAGTGGGCATGGGTGGCTTCCACTACCAGTAGTTATAGCAATGAGTGCCTCTGGAAGTAAGACATTTTTTCTGCATTGTGGCATGGTTGTGTGTTCAGCCCACTGGTGGAGTGAGGACCAAAGTTAGGATCTCATTGACCTCACACCCAGGTGCTGATTTTTAAAAATAATTTTGAACCATTCTGCAGGCCTACGGGAAATGGTTTGGTAGTGGTGGCAGTGCGGTGGGGGGTGGGGGTGGCATAAAAAAGATGTACAACTTCGTCTGCTTCACTCAAGAAGCTTTATAAATCCCATCAAAAGGGCAAGTAAAATGTTCAAGGGAGGAAGGCAGCAGAGAAGCGACCTTATAGTTGTACATGAGAGAATGATTTACTAATTAAATTCTCCTTAAAGAAAGCTACCCTTTGAAATTCTACGATAAATACCGAGAAATATTAATGCCTCCCTTCCTCCCCCCCACAACTTCTAAGATATATTTTGGGCTGAAAACATAAACAGGTTCAAGTTTATAGATACATTCATAGATGACAGAGTATTTATGGGTCAGACGGTTCACATTCATCTTCAGCCACTGAGAACAACTTCAGGATTATAAGCATTCACTCCCAGAAAATGTCTCAGAGGCAGAAAATAAAATTATATTAAACATGTAATGCTTGCAATTTTTAAAACTTACCGTATTTTGGGATGGGAAGTACATTTTGGAAAAGCAAGTTTTAGGGATTTTTGTATATTCCTTGTTTTAAAAATTCAAGCAACAGACTTGCTTGACGTACTTTAATATGTTAGGGACTTAAGCAAAAATGTCAGGCTCAAGAGCTCCCACTCCCACTATTCTTTACTCATATCTACAATCCTACCACCAACTCTAATAGCTAGTGAAATGATACAGAGAAGGGTAATAGAGATAAAGAAGGTAAAATAGGCAGAAAACGGAGACATCCTTTAGTCTCCATGAAGAGAGGCCAGGCAGGTAGTGCTTACTGTCCAGGGACAAGGAAAACAATGGTGCAAGCATAATGATACACGGTGAGTGCCACCTGGCCTCCATGTTGGGGAGACAACACTGGGAAACATGGCAGTACAATACCTTCCCTACGTAAAGGGAGATTGGATGCTTTTTCCCACATGACTATAGGTCAAGGGCGGCTAGATCTTCAACTTTTGGGGAAAAAAAAAAGATGGAAATCTGGGAGTTTTGCTGCACTCTCTGGGTTATGAGATGTTGGTCTTTAATTAAGAATTAAAATTTTAAGCATGAGACAAAATAAATCTGTGTCCTTAGGGCAGCCAATGTAGGACAATCTAAGCAAAAATTTACTATATGCATAGATCCAGAAAACCACACCCCCATCATCCTACATACTCACAAGCTTTTTAAAGTTCCCTCTCCCCATTTCATATCCCCACCCTCTCCCCTGTTCACAAAATAAGGACCAGAATCTCTCTAGAACTCCTTTCTTTAGTTCCCGTTAACCCAGATTTGAACAAGGTAGGCTGGTTCCAGTATGTGTTAACTTTAACCTTTAAAACAAGTGATTTTATGCTTTTAAAAGGGGTGTTAAAATGCTACCATTTTCTATCTTCAGTAAATACAAACAAGTATTAATTTCAGTGATCTCTCAGTTTACTACCTATTTTCCCAAGACCAATGAACCAACCATCAAGAGGAGTCCATTGTGGAGTCCAGGTCTTTCTCCCCAACATGAGCCTTCCAACCCAACAGGGAGTCATTTTCTTTTCCTCTCCTCTTGCTCCCTACTCAGTCCGAGAGAGGAACCTAATCACACTTCCTTGTTTGAAGACCAATTTTTTTTCTATTTCCTGACACGTTTATCTGGAGGTACATGCAACTGGTTAGTTACCTGTGCCCTGGCGTCCTACACCCCACCCCAAATTCAGTTAATTCACATCATACAATTATCTATACAGACTCATCTAGCTGCAACTAAGAGCTGTTTGAAAATGCAATCAAAGTGAGTCATGGGAGAGGTTAAGTGCTAACGTCTCACCTCCTATGATTTCCCTATCATCTATCTATCTATCATCTATCTATCTATCATCTATCTATCCTCTAACTTACCAAGCTAGTATTTAAATCATTATCACCCTTGTCAGTCCTCTACAGAAAAGAACCCCCCTCCTTAAACTAAAAGACTGTAACATAAATAAGGCTGAGTTGTGGTGTTGTATCGGATGTGTCCTTTACTGCCATAATAAGCAGATGGTACCTTTTTATTGATCATCAGACCTACTGATACACTGTTTTGCTGGGCACAACTTTCTGACATTGTTATTCTTATACAATTTCAGAACCTTAACCACAGCAACATGCTAATAGGACAGTTTTCCTCAGGCTGGCAAATTCTTTTATGGGAACTTGCCAAGTTTAATATCCTCAAGTTAATTTATAAATCAGTTATTTGAAGCTGGAGCACTTTCCCTTATAAATAGTGGTTAAATTTAAATCATAAAGTGGTTTCAATAATAAAATAAAATAGCACAATAAAAAGTAGTGTTTAAAGTATGTGAACAATACTATTGGCCAAACAAAATACACAGAACAAGAAATTTTATTATCTTGAATGCTGGTGCATAACCATTAACAAGCTTAATTAGAGGAGGAGACAGAGGGAAACTTCAGATACTGAGGTGGATTTCTGGGCAGGTTTAAAACTTTTAAAGGTTGAGGGCATAATTGTTCAGTCTTTTTTTAGATGTAGGGCTTTCCTTTTACTTGACATGTTCACTTCAACAGTTCTTATATGAAGTTCAACAAAAGTCTTACACCTGTAAAGTTAAATGAAACAGCAAATAAAACAATTTATGTAAGAGTATTAGAAATAGTTTGTTCTGTTCTTTCACATACATTTTAATGTCTAAATTTGAAATTTTATTATGGATGTCTTAGTTTTTGAGTTTTAAAAATGGTAAGACAATGAATTTCCTTGAATTACAGATCATAGTAGCTTTATGAATGATCAAGATACATGTACAAAGTTTCAGATGCTCTTGAAAACACATTTTGAGATATAGCACACATGATACATATTTCTTTTTGGGTTTGCTTTATACCCAATTTATTTTACACAAAAAATTTAGCCTTTGATCACTGGCTTGGACAGACCACAAAGTGGAATCTTCAAGAGTTCTCTCAGTAGGCTTTCAGTCCAAATGATTGAGACATATTGTGTCCTAAATTAGATGTATTAGTTACATTTTCTCATGTAATTAGTATCACTGGGGTCTTGTACTGGTAGTTTGTCTTGGTCATAGCTTATTCTTGCAAAACCATCCCTTACAGTGAATGTGAAAGGTATTTTCTCCAATGCAAGGAAAATAATCTGATCAATAACAGAGTCAAAGCCACAGGTGTTTCAGGAACGTTCTTGAAAACAGATTTCCACAGTCCTAAGATGTGTTTTCTTCTTCCTTAACAATTCTTTTTCATAACTGTGCAGTCACTGCCCTATTCTATTCTGCAAAACAACAACAACACACAAAAAAATTTTTTTTTGAGGATCAAGTTTTTCATTGGCACGGTACGATCTGGATCTGGAATGAACCCAAAAGACAGTGGGAATGCTGGGTCTCTCCTCAAGTAGTTTCCTCCTCTTTTAACAGCACGTAATTACTCTCTATCAATAATCTCATCACAGCCGAGTTCTTCGGTCAGGCGATTGACAACCATAAGTGAAAAAAGCTCTTCGATAAAAGCCAACTGATCAAACGGGGTCTTCTCATAATGCATCTGAAACCCGGCATCCAGGGCTGCTTCCCTTGCTCTGGATGTTCTCAGAAACATCTTGTTGGCTTCTTCAAGGGCCGCTGATACTCTGTAGCCTGCACCACTCAGCTGCTCCTCTTCCGGATAATCATAGTCGTCCTCCCAGTCATCAAATTCCTCGCCCTCGTCCTCGCTCTCGAAGTCAGGGCCCGCGAGCAGGCCTGGCTGCTCCCCAGGGCTGGGCCGGTTAGCAAGGCCTCGTTCCCCCTGCGGCTCCGCCATTGGCTGGGCCGCCTCCTCCTCCATTGGGCCTTCCTCCTCGAGCTGTGGCGGGGCCCCGTTGCGGGAGGAGTTCGGGGATGGCTCCCGGCTCCCGCTGCCTACCTCCATCTGCGGAAGGTCACCCTCGCCAGGCATCACATCCATCTGCAGGTCATTGCTCTCTTCATAAAGCTCGGACAGCTCGTTCATTTCCGACATTATACAAGCAGCTCAACCTCTCGCAAGGCGTTTTTGCAAAATCGGAGCTACGCGGACGAGCCGTTCTGCGCGTGCGCAAACGCCGTGCGCTTGCGTGACCCTGTGCGTTTGCGCGACCCCCAAACACCGCCTCCCATTTGGCGTGCCCCTCGGGGGGCAGCTGCTCACTGTTACGCGGGGAGCTGTGGTGCCGCTTTCGATCCGTTCAAACTCCCTAGGTAGACACTCTGCCTATAAGAGAGTTACTTAATCTCCCCTTTCTTAACCGTTCCGCTGCTTATGATGCTGCAAACTTGAAAATACTTTACGTGGCCTCTGTAACAACGTTTAATCCTCCTCCCCTTGCTCCTTACCCCTTCTGCTCTCTCCTGCTCTTCTTCCTCCCACCCCAGGCAAAATCGCTTCTGCTTCAAGGTTTTAACCCCCTTTCATCTGTACGCTTAGGATTTCTAAATCCACACCTCCAAATCACACAATGTTCCCAACCACAGATCAACATACTGAGAACTGATCCGTTAAGCTCTACTGTTTTCCCCATTTTCAAAACAAGTTAAATTCACAAACATATTATCTATCTTCTTAAAAACATATATGCTGAAGAAGTACTTGGTTCCATTTATTTTCGCGGGAGGTAACTTCCCGCTGTCATCAATTTGGTGTGTATTCTTTAAATCTTTTTCCTTTGCATTTATATGGATCTTTATGTCCTCGTGGAAAAATCTTATTTTGTGTGTGGGTTTTTTGTTTTTGTTTTTGCATGCCTTAAGTAACTCTTCAATTACAAAACAAAAAGCCCTTCAGCAATGTCTTGAAGATTTAGCTTTGTTAGTATACATAGATGAGTCTTTTTTTCCCCTAGCATTTCATTTGTATAGCTATACTATAGTTGACCCAATTATGCACAAATAATTTCCTATTTTTCGATATTATAAACTATGGTTAAATCACATCCATATGCGCCAATGTTTCTCTAGAACAAATAACCTACAAGTGGAAAGGCATAATTGTAGGGTATGCATTTTTAGTGTTTTTTTTTTTTTTTTAAGATTTTATTTGACAGAGACACAGCGAGAGAGGGGACACAAGCAGGGGGCGTGGGAGAGGGAGAAGTCCTCCCGCGGAGCAGAGAGCCAGATGCGATGCTCTGTCCCAGGACCCTGGGATCATGACCTGAGCCCAAGGCAGACGCTTAACGACTGAGCCGTCCAGGCGCCCCTGCATACTTTAGTCTTAACACATAGTATCAAACTGCTCTCCAAGATTGCTCTCCTCCCCGGTGTTTGAGAATATCCTTGCCACACGTGGTTTTGTGGAGCAATTTTATCAATTTAATATCTTGTTTTATTTTCCATAGCCTTGATTTCTTAGAGATTGAGTATTTTTCAATATGTTTATTGAAATTTGTGTTACTTAAGAAAATTAACTGGTCTTATTTTTGGTTTATTTCTTTTTGTTATTGATTTGTAGGAATTTCTTACAAACTATATGAGTACTTTGTTTTACATGTTGCAAATATATGCTTCCTGCCTGTTGTTATTTGTCCCATTTCAGGGGTCTTTTTTTTATACAAAAGTTTTAAAATGAGTTTTCATGTAATCAAATTGAAGGGGTTTTTTCTATGTCTTTTTCTTTCTATTAAGATGGATTTTCCTACTTCACAGATTACAAGCATAATTTTTTATTTGTCTTCTAATATTTGAATAGATCGTTTATGGATAAAACATTTATATAAATACTATGAGGACAGGATTTGTTTATATATTTTTTACAAGTATCGAGCTAATTCAGCCAACTCCACTAATTTAATCACTGTCCTTTTGTTGGCTATTTGGTGCCACATTTGTCATAGATTAAAAGACAATGAATGTGTAAGTTTGTTTTTAAACTTTGTATTCAAATGAATTTCTGCAGTTTTATAGTATGCCTTGCTGATAAGGAAAATCTTCTGTCTTTGTTCTTTAAAAAATTGCCTTAGCTCTTTGCACATTTATTCTTCCATGTGAATTTTAGAAGTAGCTTGAAATGGTACCCGAATGACATAGGTGGAATTTTTGGAGTTGCGTGGAATTTACAGATTAATTTGGGGGAGAATCGACATCTTTACAATATTGTCTTCTCATCCATAGAAGTGATATATATCTTTCTACTTATTTGTGTCTTATTTTTACCCTTCGATAAAGTTTTCTAAAAAGCCTTACGTGATTCATACTAGTTTTATACTTAGGTACTCTTGTAAAATATACCCCTCACCGCAATACAATATCTGATTAGCTATTGCTGGTATGTAGGAATGACAGTTGATCTTTGTATATTGATTTGTTTTTAGTAATCACTTTTAACTGAAATACAAATATAGAAAACACAAATATAGAAGAGTGCACAAGTTGTAAGTATGCAGCTTGGTTATTACAAAATGGATGTATTTGTGTAACCACTACCCAGATCGAGAAACACCGTTTGCAGGATCCCAGAAAACCATTTGCTTTCTCTTGCTTTGCCCCACTATCACCATCATCCTGATTTGAAACAGAATAAAATATTTTTGCCTGTTTTTGAACTTTATAGAAATTAAACCATGCAGTGTATATACTTTATGTCTAGCTTCTTTTGCCCAAGAAATATGTTCTTTGCTACATAGTAGTCTATTGTTTGAATATCACAGTGATCATCATTGGGATTGTTTCCAGTTTGGGGCTATTACAAACAGGGCAGTAATTTTCTTTCTTGAGAAGATCTTTGGTGCAGTATTTACATGATCCTTTGGAATACAGCTAAGAGTAGAATTGCTTGACCATCTTATGTAATTAGAATTGTGTATAGATTAGGTTAAACAATTCTGAAGATGAGATTAGCCAATTGATGCACAGTTGGTATTTCAATGAACCTTCAAAGCAGTATGACAAATACCTCTCTGTAAATTGGTCATTACACTGTGGTTTCCAAACAAGCAAGCCTAAACTCTCAAGTGAAAGAGATCGTCTTCTTGGCTAACTAATGCAGTTCACTTGGATAGTCTACTTCATATTGAAAATCTTAATTAGGGCCTTGGTATGCTTTTGGTGGTGAATGACTGAAACCCAATTCAAACTAACTTATATAAAAATAAATAAATAAAATAGAAAAATACATAAAAAGATAAAGGGGGAAATGTATTGGTTGAAGTGATGGACTAAATATTACCACCAGATTTTTTTTTTTTTTTTTTTTTTTAACTCTCAGCTCTGATATTGTCCAGAGGGAAAGCTTCATTCTTCCATCAGGCTTTTCCCACATGGCAGCAAAAGATGGCTCCCAGAAGCTTTGGACTTAAACTGAGGCCCTTAATGGCAGAGAGAGGTGCATTCTTTCCTATTATCCATTTCAGTTCCTCTCCATGGTATTGATTGGCTTTGCTTTATCCAGAGGGTAAAGCCCATTCTGATGGGCTAGACCTGGATCCTCTGTCCAGCCATAAGGAGAGGGGCAGTGATACGGGCATGTCAAACCTACTTGAACCTCATGAGATTATTACAGAATGGGGATGGAGTAGTTTCCAAAGGGATGCTGAGCAGGCAAAAAAAAAAAAAAACATACAACGTATATCTGTTACTGTTAGGGTGTATGTAACTAGATATAATTAATTTGTAGCATCATCCATGTTTAATCTGTTTATGTTTTACAGATTATTGCAAATCATCATATGCAGTCTATTTCATTTGCCTCTGGAGGGGATCCTGTAAGTATGGACTCATGAAAGCTCTTTTTATAAGAGTTAAAAGAACTTCCATGTAAAGCATGGAAGTGTAAACCATGTAAAACCCTACATAACTTTTCCAGTGTTTTATTACAATTTGTGAGTAGCTATGTACAATCAAAGATTTGGCTTTGACAAAATATTTTCTGTTACTGATTTTTAAAATATTTGGAAGTGTAAACCATGTAAAAACCCTACATAACTTTTCCAGTGTTTTATTACAATTTGTGAGTAGCTATGTAAAATCAAAGATTTGGCTTTGACAAAATATTTTCTGTTACTGATTTTTAAAATATTTGGATTAGTGGATGAGCTAATAATATTCCATTATGTTGTGAGTCATGGAGTTATCATCTGAGATTCTTCTTGTAAGTAACATCTAAGTCATGAAAAACAAATATGTCATACATGTGTTGCCAATCACCCCTCAGCATTCTTTACAACACAGAGTTCCAGGCAGATCCTTTTAAGCAATGGATTTGACATACGAGGGGAAGCCTAGTTGCCATTCCAGCTGTCAACCAAGGCCACCAAGTCTCATCCAGGTTTGCAGAAGCTCGTGGAGGGGGAAAGCTTAGCTAGCAGGAGAGAACTGCACTTCGTTCCCCATGAACTGTGGGAGACTGAGCAAGTGCTCACTCTCCAAGCATACTTTACAGAGTGGAGGGTCATTCCCTGACTCCCTACTCCATATTTCTGAACCAGAGCTGAAGGAAGGAGGGAGGCATTGAAGTTAGGAAACCTGGGACTGACCAAGAAACAGATCTGTTTAAACTGAGGGGGTAGAAGGAGGATTTTGCTGTTCCATGATATTGGGACATTTTTCTTCTCCTTGCAAACATACACAAGCTAGAAGAGGACTGAGTTTGATTTTCATCAGTAAGGACCTTACATCAGTAAGGTCAAGAAAACATATGGGGAGCAAATGGAGACCTTGTTCTTCCTGACAATGTATTACCTTCTTTTCTGCTGAGCATTTAATATTAAAGATTGTATCCTTCAGAAATGAGGGAATAAAATCCAGTATAATAGTTGTTGGGGTTTTTTTTTTTTTCTATCCACCACATTTAGTTTCTTCCAATTGAGGAATCAAATGGAGGGTCATAAATGATAAGACATATAATTCAGAAATCTAAGAGAGGTATGGAACAGTAATAAAAACTAAATCTGGCAGGTGATGTCACTGCAAAGTTTTGACCTCTATGCTAAATATTTAAAAGGAAAAATTATTGTCTATCCTAAAAGGAAATGAAGTTCTGAAGTTACTCTGTTGTAATCATTGCTTCCCTTACCGGCATCTAAAGTAAGCGACTTTCTTCACTTGATTGTTAATGTAACTTTTTCATGTGTGAAATATATAGTTAAATGCTATTTAAATTACCCTATTCTTTAAAAATTTCAGTAATTACTTGTCTCCACATTGGCTACCAGTGACTCAAAATGTTCAAGCATGTCAAACCTAAATATCCTGTCTTCAGAACTTATTTGAAGCATATGGAAGAAAAGTCCTATTTATAGGACTTCAAATCATTGGGGGTTTTTTTTCTTTTATTAATGGACATTTAATTTTCCCTTTAGGCTTCTCTATTTTCTCATCTTTCAATTTTGGGTATAGTTATTTTCAAATGAATAGATTAGTTCCATGGTCCTACCATTTAATTAATATGTAAACCAAATTTTAAGAGCTCTAGCTCTTCCGCAAGAGATTCCACGGTTGGCCAATTGTGGATTCATTAGAAACAGGGGAGCAGTGGCAGCGTGGGCCCAGTACTGAACCTGAACTCCCATCCAGCCAGCTTCGTAATCTGGCCTGGACCCTGATAACAAAGCAGAGAGGGTTGACTGAATCCAGCCTGAAAAGGCCAGCATTGTCTCTTATCTTCCTAACCTTATAGCTCAGTCATCCATAAAGGAACTCAAATATTTTCCTTAAGTTATGTAATGAGTTCTATAAGCTAAGTATTAAAAATAATTATAGGTGTTTGCCCTAAATTTCCCTTTCAACTTTCAAGGGTTGCTGTCATTTTGGCATTGGTATGCAAATCATTGTTTACCCTAGGCAAGCCCGCATGATGTCTATCACAGTTCTCCGGAATCCTGATTCTTTTTAGATCATCTTCACATGCCTTTACTTTTTTAATACTTTCAACCCACCAAAGCACTGACCTTACCAAAAACAAATGGTAAAGAATTTGTAGTGCTGTGGGGAAATTTGTACCTGCTGATTTGAGTGGGACCCCTGTGCTTTCTGCAACTGGGGCAAAAAGCCTGCTATTCAAATTTAAAACAGAAAACTGGAGTGACCTCAAGCATTGGCATTCAGGGTCCCCTAGGTGAAGTGCCAGGTCAGGGAGACTTGACTTACTTAACCTCTCCTGGCTTCGGGGGGGGGTCCTCATCTATAAAATGGGGAATGAGCACCCTTGCCTCACAGCCTAGTAAGGAGGAAGTGAAGTGATGCATGTAAGCTGTTAGTGCTTTGCCTGGCACTGCGTGATGGGAGATAGCTATCACCCCTGTTGCTAGCACATGGCAATGGCCATAGCTTTGTTTAGGACACTCCCTGAGATCATTTAGAGCTTCACAGCCACCTGAGTGCAAGATGCTAAAAGTCTCCATGGCCCAATGTAGTACCTTTCAACCAGATTTCCTCCCAAGTTTGAGAAATACTGGCTGTTCTTCCTTACCTCTTGACCTTTGCTCACCCTTACCTTTACTCTCTTCTCAAAGACATTTACTTGTCTTCCTCCTGTCAGCCAAGACAGTTCTTGGTAATGCTTCTGTATCTCTGTATACTTTCTCCTTTTCAAAAATGCATTCCAAGTATGTCACAAATATATGTTCTTATGTTTTTTCCATCATTTGTGTCTTGCTTTTAACATTCTTTACATTCTCCCAGACATTTGCAGTTATAGAATTTTAGAACTCTAAGACCACTGGAGACTGTTTGGAGGATGAGGTCCCACAACCTCTTTCCCACCATCTAATGCACCAGACAGTGTTGCTGGCGTCCTCCCATCTCTTCGACTTTATAAATAGCAGCCAAGCCCCAGCACTTGTGGCTTTGCTTCTAAGTTCATATAAAATAAAGCTCATAGATATGACCTTATTTATTTACAAGATATTTCAAACCTTTTATCTGTTAGCATGAGATAAGTTTATTTAGGTGTTTGTTATTTTTTAAAATAACTGAAGACAAGTTATGCTGACCCTGAGATCTGCTTCCTGCGTGTTTCACTGTGGGTTATTAAGTGATTGTCCTTGAGGGTATTATACACAGGCTTTTATTTCCTGCCAGTTGATTGCATCTTCCCTCTGGAGAGTCATACTTCTAATCTGCAAATGGCATTGTGTGTATGTTTTTTTTCCCTGAGAACTGAGATAACAAAAAGCATCTTTAATTATTAAAATCTTATCACTCATCAGTTTACTGTTTCAGTAAAAGTCAGAATTACCAAGTGGCTTTTTGTTTGTTTTTACAAAGTCAGCCACACATCTTTTTGAACTCCTTAGATTTTTCATGGGTTCTCTTTTTCAAAAATGATTTTTCCTTTCTAGATATTGATCAAATAAATGCTTTGTATTTTTGCTTTGTTATTTCTTAAGTTAACTCGCTCTGCACACAAGCAAGCTAACAACCACAAAGCCCAATGTGTCTCTGTAATTGACTTATTTTCTGACATAGATGGTGTCTCTTTGGACAACTGGGAAATCATGGCACCACCTCCTAGTTTATGACTCCTTTGTGGTGGCATAACCCCTGGTATTTCACCTTTCAACACAGGAGACAGTTACAGTCCCTAACCATTTTTTAAGAATGTGTGTCCTAACATATTCCCTATGTAGATTCTTTTTTATGCTCAGTAAATAAGTATCACTAAATCTGCCTCTAAATTTTTAACTTTCAACTTCTCTCTCCAAGGGGCAGAGGATGTGGACTCCACAATGGCTGAACTACACAGTGTGTATTTATATTCCCTCCTAGGATGCTTTTCTTTTCTCTTTAAGTAGAAACATTTGTATGTAAGTCCTTACCTCAGTATCATGTCCTAAATGTACTCTTATCTTTCAACAGTATAATCCATTCGTTTTAAATGCAATCATTTTCCCTTTTTTATAGGACACTACAGACTATGTCGCCTATGTAGCTAAAGATCCAGTTAATCAACGAGGTATGGAAAGCAACTTCTAGATTTTCTTAAGCGCTGGTATATAGCACCTTTAAAAAGTAACAAGCAGTTCTTTTCAATATACAGAGTGATGAGGATCACTAGAGTGCTATATTGGGTTCTAGAAATATTATGTGAATTTGAGTTGGAAATAAATAGCCCTGCTAGCAGAACAAAGTAGAAAAAAATATATAGTTGGGATTTAAGTCCCAGGCATTTGAGGGATCCTTATACCCAAAGGCTTATTATCTATTTGTATAATCAAAAGAGAAGCTGTTTTGGTTATAACAGAAGGGACTGGCTGCCACACCCCCAATGAATGAATGAATGAATTACACAGAAGACCCAAGCCAGTGAGATTATTGGTCTCAGCAAGTGTGTGTGTGTGTGTGTGTGTGTGTGCGCGCGCGTGCACACCCATGCACATGAGTGTATGTGTGTTGAGCCTGTGCATTTGTTATTCAAAGAGTCTGGCATGTCACTTTGAGTGTTTGGCTTCTTCTCATTTTTGGATCTCAGCTTAAATGTCTCTTCTTCAGAGAGATCTTCTTTGACTGATGGCACTTCCTATCTACAGTAGCATAACCCACCCTGCTGCATCATAATACTTTATTTCTCTTCTTATTAACACTTAGCCCACATTTTTGTTATTTTATTTACTCATTTGTTGATGTGTTTCATGTCTGTCCTTCCTACTGAAAGCTCCATGAGGGCAGGAACCTATCTACCTTATTTGCTGCTGTTTCCAAAGCACTCATCAAAAAGCCAGACACATAGGTGTTGCAACAAAAATAACTGTATTTGTTAAGTGAATGGAAGAGCTAAGTTGATTGGATTTCTCATCCCAGGATTTAGCAAGTTTGCCTAAGTAAACTCATCTCCTGGTGAAACTTTGGGATAAGGGCCTGAAATTTCTTAAGTCATTGGACCTCTTTAGACAGACATGGTTAGTGTTGCTTCTCATCCCTGATTCTGGGACATTCAACTCCTCTTAAGGATGAGCCTTAGGTTGCTTCTTCTCCTCAACTTGAACCTATTAGGTCAGCATCTTGTGCCACCCCAAGGATAGAGTTTGCTCCAACACATTTATTAAGTACACGTGAAGTAGAATTTGGAAATTCAAAGAGTTATAAAACAAAGAGGTGAAAGTGTACATGGCATGCTGGGGGTAAATAAATAGAACATATTTGCTAGAATGCAGATTGGGTATGGAGGAAAAAATGTCTAAAAGACATCTAGAGGGCAGATAGGATAGTGCCAATAAGTAGGGACTGAATCTTCAAGTAACTGGGTGGAAAATGCTGTTTACAAAGCAGAGCTTCAGGAAGATTTATTTGGGAATAGGATGGATTCAGAGAGACACTTAAGGCAGGGAAATCTGTTTGGAAGCTATTATGATAGTCAAAAAGGAAATGATGAGGACCAGCTGCTAATACAGGACCTGGCACGTGGTAGATGCTTAGCAAATGCTTGCCAAAAGAACATGGCTCGATGAGATGGAAAAGCAGAAACAGGTGACAAGAATTAAGCAATACTCCACTGAAACTGACTCACTGTAAACCATATAATGAAGAATGGATAACCATCAAAATGAGTAGGAGAGACAGAAACTAGTGAAGGGGAATGGGGGTGTAAGAATGGAACACAACAGAAGATACCAGAAAAGAGCAGCCTCTTTTAATTAAGCCTGAGTTTCCCGAAAGAATCACTGCATGCTCTTTTAGGGAAGGGCTCTGAACAAAAAGCCTTTTCTCTTAACCTCAAAGGACAGGGTGAAAGGAAGAACAAATAGATCGGGAAGTCTAGATGTTGAGTAACTTTGCCATCAGTCACTGAATAGCTCAGGCCTGTCATTGCTCTTCCATGAATGGTGGTGAGGTGTTCAAGGACTGACTAGTTGCTTGCTTGCTTCTCTAGGGGAATGGGTCTACCTAGAAGATAGATGATTTAGAAGCATGGGGTAATTTTCTGGGTGCGACTCTTGGTTTGGGCTCAGGTCATGATCTCAGGGGCATGAGATCAAGCCCCTTGGCCAGCTCTGCACTCAGTGGGGAGTCGGCTTGAGGTTTCTCCCTCTCTCTCTGCTTCTGTCCCTCCCCCTGTGCACTTCCTCTAAAATAAATACATCTTAAAAAAAAGAAACAGGGTAATTGTTTTTTGGATTAAAAAGTTGGAATCTCCTCCTCCTTATTGCTCCTTTTCCAGTCTCCTCCTTCCCTTTCTTATTTATCTTGGTCGTAGAAACTTCTGTGAGAAGCCGCTCATTTGTCAGCATAGCCCCTGCTTGCACACCCCTCCATAGTCAAATCCCTTCTCCTCACCGGAGCCCCTGGACTTTAATTTGTGCCCAGAGGTGCCAACACGGCTTTCAGGCCCACACATAATTATGAATTACATACTAATATAAAAGGGGCTGAGCTAATCATTGTGGCGGAAAAACAATTCCTGGCCAGCTTGGACCCCTCATTTCATCAGAGAGAGAAACATGGTATGTTGGAGGTGCATGGAGAAGGAGGGGGGCCTGGACAATAGCGTGTGGGACACAGCAGGGGCTCAGTCAGGACTTGTGGGAGAAATGAATCCAGGGCCAGGTGAAAGAGCCCTCTGATGAGAGCTCAGGGCTATGGGTGTGGGTGTGTGAGTGTGTGTGTAAAGGTGGGGTCGCAGAGAAAGGAAGGAATAGAAGTAGGGGAGTCATGGCTGAAAAGCGAGGCCAGAAACAGAGTGTAGAGGGCTTTGAATGCTGGCCAAAAGGTCACTGGGAGCCATTGAAGATTGTGAGCTTTATAGCAATTATTCTGGCTTCTGCCATTTTACTGAAATTGCAAAATGATAACTTTTCTGGCATTTGTATCTGTGAAAGTGATGTGGGAGGGCAGAAAATAGTCTGGAATTGTAGAATCCAATTTGGAGGACATCCCATTAGTCCCAGGCAGGAGTGGTACTGTTTACATTACACTGGGGGAGAAAGGAACCGTTTGGACACATCTGTGAACTAATGGAACTTGGCAACACTTTAGATTTGAAGGTTGTTGAAGAAATAGAAATCAGATATTCCTGAGGACTTAATGAGATATTATATACAATGCAAATATCTCAATAGTTGGCTCATAGTAAGTATATAATAAATGGTAGCTATTATTATTATTACCCTGTGTGATATGGATTAGTGTTGCCATTAAGAAAACAGGGATTATTACAAATGGGAAAAAAGACAATCCTCTAGAGAAACAGTGGGGGAAACCTACCATTTACTGCATGCTCACCACAGGCAGACATCAACCCTCTGAGATCGGTATTTATTCCTTTATTGTAAAAGCAAACACTGGCATTGAGAAAAGTGAGATTGTTTTCTTAAGCTCAGCCAGCTAATAAGCAAGTGAGTCAACTCCCAGGTTCTGAGAACACCTTTACAAAAGAACATTACAAGGCACCAAGAAACATTTAGAAAATTTTACAAGTTTACTAGCTACCTTGTTAGCAATCAAATTATAGTTAGGTACCATATTTCATCTTCAAATTTCAAATATTGAAAAAAGGTAAAATGGGGTTTAAAGTAGTAGTTATTTTTGGGTGCCTGGGTGGCTCAGTTGGTTAAGCGACAGCCTTCGGCTCAGGTCATGATCCTGGAGTCCCAGGATCGAGTCCCACATCGGGCTCCCTGCTCAGCAGGGAGTCTGCTTCTCCCTCTGACCCTCTTCCGTCTTGTGCTCTCTGTCTCTCATTCTCTCTCTCTCAAATAAATAAATAAAATCTTTAAAATAAATAAATAAATAAAATAAAATAAAGTGGTAGTTATTTTTAACAATGCCTGTAGGATTGTGGATCCAAGTGTATTGGAGAGCAAGTTGACAGTTTGCATCCAAAGACTTAAAAAGGTAAATACTTTTGAACCAGCAATTTAACTTCTAAGGAAATAATTAGGGCATGCACAAAGATTAAGCAATAAAGATTATTGTCATATATTATTTATATAATAGAAAAATAGAATTAATTCAATATTCATAAATAGCAAATTATGTAAATGAATCCATAGAATGTACTACTATGCAGCAATTTAAAGCTAGTGTAATAGAAGAATAAATAATGACCTGGGGTAAATGTCGACAGTGTTATTAAGTCAAAAAGCAGATTGTGAAACAATGTGCATAATATGACCCCAGGTAATTTTTTGGAGGTAGATATCCTTAGAAAAAAGATTGGAAAGAAAAAGATGCCAAAATATTAATAGCAGTTATCTTTAGGTAGTGAGACTTAACATAATTTTTTTTTCTTGGTGGGCCTTTTTATTTTCTAAAACTCCTACACTGAGTATTTATTGTATTTGTAAAAAGAAAAAAATGTTCTAAATCCTTGAATAAATAAAGAAAGTAGTGAAACCAGAAAGAAGATGTTATAGAATTACCTAGTGAGTTTGGTTCATCTGGGGGAAGTGTTCAGCAGGCAGGAGAAGCTCAGGGTGGGAGAGGGGGATGGGAGTGCGGGGGGGTAGGGGAGACAGAGACCAGGCCTTCAGGGGCAGGTTTGGAAAAACTGCCACTTCATAGCCCTAAGAGTAAGCAAGCTCACCGAAGGAGGAACCTGGAAAGGAGAGGGCTGGGGGTCTCAGGGAGTAGAAGTCAGAGGCAGTAAAGAACCAGAGGAGTAGTCAGCGGGAGGAGAGAAAATAAGGAGATGAGTATCATCTAAGAAGGAGGAAGAGCGCGTTTCTCTGGGAGAAGACATCCCAGAATGAGACACCTCAGAATGCGACATACTGAAAAGGAGCTGGGAGCGGTGAAGGTGGAAAATGCCTTTCAGTCGGGCAGTTAACAGGCCATTGCCCCCCCGCCCCCCCGCCGGGAAGCACAATGTCAGTGGATGGGATAAAGGTAGGAGAAGGCAGGCCTCGGGGATGAGGAAGAGCATGGCCCACAGTCAGAGGAATCCTGAATGTTCCCACCGCATCTTATTTGTTCCGTTCACTTTTAGCATTAGTGTATTCAAATCAGGGCAATGGTCACTTTTTCCCATCTTGGCTAGGACCTTTTATAAAAGTGAACTGGGCATTTTATAAAAGGCCTTTTCTGTAGGAAAGGCAAGTTACCCTAAGAATGTTTTGAATTTACTTAGTGACTAATATGGCTTGCCCCTGTAATTGCTATGAATAGGAAATCTGTATTCTCTTCACCTCTCACTCCCAATGTGTAGTAGTCCAGGAAGGTTTAAATATTTTCTCTGAATCTAGTATGTGAAGAGGCCCCAGTTTACCTGGGTACAGGAAGGTCATGGTTCTCAGTCCCTCAATAAAGTTTAAAAATTGTTTTACAAGACTGTAAAAACAATTTAAATTAACCTATTTACTTATATATATGGTTATGGTTATAAAATCTATGCACGACTGCCCTGGTGACATAAGTTAACTATGGACTGACTGCTAGCTCGCCTCTTTGGCTTGGTTTCTTCCTAGGAGTGGAGGACTCCTTGCTTCAGTGTTAGAGCGCCATCTGGTGGTTGACCTCAGGTGCTGCACTTTTGAATTTCGAGTTTATTAAAAAAACAAAAAATAAACAAAACCAATCCCCCCCCCGGTCTATTAAAAATAAATATAAACTAGTAAAGAAGGGCCTGTTATCCTGTAAGAATAGTTCTCAGTCTCTTGTCCATGAATAGCCAATTAGGAGACCAAATGAAAAAACTGAAGAATATGAAGCTAAGATTTTAAAAAATCCTCCTTAATACAGTACTTGATACCCGAAGGTAGAGTTATGGGTCTGTCTGGCTGCAGGTGGAATGAAAAGAACCCATATTTGCATCGGATTCCATCTCAGGCCTCCATGCAAAGTTATCATATCGTTGGAAAGCCACATTCTTTTTTTTGGCCTTTGGGACTTTTCATACACTTGTCTTTCTTTCTTCCCATTAGCTAAAGATTGGTCAATTCTTGGCCAACCTGGCTGCTTATCCAAGCTTTTGGAGATGGGTCTAACCCTGGGAAATGGGTACATTTGTATGTAATTCAAAGCCCATCCGTATTCTGGCCCATGACCAACCTCAAAAAGAACCAAGACAGTTTTTACAGAGCCGCATGTCCCTGAGTAGCAACAACAGCATTGTGTGTGTTCGCTGAAGGCAGGGAGGCTGCAAAGGATATCTGCACAGGGTCAGCCTTTTTGTCCAGTGTCATTCCTTTCCTGGTGATGGGCACTGCTGTTTGTTTTCTATTCAGTCTTCTCAAAAGAGTAATATGGCAGTAATGAGGTTCTCCAAAGCAAAGCAGAACATGTTGGTAGCATCAGCCCAAGAACAGGACCAAATTCTCAAAGTATCAGAATCAGAAGAGTTGAGAGAAGTAAAAACATTTTGGAAGCGTGTGAGAAGTGGTGATGGGTTTGGTTGTTTCCTTCCTTCCTGAGTACCCGCATGCCACAAGAACCCACATGCCTGTTTCCCCGGAAGGCTTAAGCTGCTGTGACAGAGGGAAGTTAGGCTCTCTAGAAAGCAAAAAGGGACTTCAAAGATCACCTGTGCTCTCTCTCGGCAGGTGAGGATATCGCTGCAAACCGACTCGTTCGGGGTCACACACATTGTGGCATAATTGGAATTTGAACTTGAATCTGAATCTTTCCACGGAGTTCTTTTAAGTGTTCTTGTTTTCTCATCGCCTTAAAGCGAGATACACTCATTTTTCTTCAGGTGTATGTATGTACGTTTGTTTGAATTTCCTACCTCTCTCATTATCTTCCTTCCTCTCTAGACCTCTTCTTGAACCTACGAAAAAATAAAATTTAAAAAATCATTTTCTGTATTTCGATATATTTCTTTTTTTTTTTTTAAAGATTTTATTTATTTATTTGAGAGAGAGAATGAGATAGAGAGAGAGGGAGAATGAAAAGGGGGAGGGGTCCGAGGGAGAAGCAGACTCACTGCCGAGCAGGGAGCCCGATGCAGGACTCGATCCCGGGACTCCAGGATCATGACCTGAGCCGAAGGCAGTCGCTTAACCAACTGAGCCACCCAGGCGCCCTTTCGATATATTTCTGATGTTGACTTTATTTCAAATTGGACCAGAAATTTATGAGATGAAAAACAAAAGAATTCAAGTGAGTGGCCTTTTCTTATCATAAGGTAACACAACTTCTCTTTGCTCAACTGGAGGGCACTTTCCAAGGCCACTTTGTAGGTGTAAGGATATCTCCAAGAGCAAAGCAACAGTGGCTGGAAGAACCTGCCTCCCTATGGGGCTCACTGCAGGTGTCATTTCAATGCAATTGAAGACAACTTCTCACATGAGAATTATTGATGTAATTCAGGAAAATCAATATGTATTCAATCAACACAATTTTTAAAACACCTTCTATGTGTTGGTCATGTGTGAAGCTACTGCAGAGGGAAAAAAAGCAATTTAAGATTACAATTTAAAGATAGATCAAACATTTTCCTTTTGGTAGAAAAGATATACATTTATAGACATTCTTTTTTTTATTTTTAAAGATTTTATTTATTTATTTGACAAAGAGAGACACAGCGAGAGAGTGAACACAAGCAGGGGAAGTGCGAGAGGGAGAAGCAGGCTCCCCGTGGAGCTGGGAGCCTGATGCGGGACTCGATCCCAGGACACCAGGATCATGACCTGAGCCGAAGGCAGACGCCCAACAACTGAGCCACCCAGGGGCCCCCATTTATAGACATTCTTAATTGGGTTTTGAAACTAGAATTAGCTCCTAAGTCTATATTAGGATCCAAGTTGCTTCTTTAAAGGGACAACCTTATAAGAAATGGTAATGATAATTCTTCTAGAGATTTGATACCTTGGCATTGTTTGATTTAATAAAACCCTCCGCCCCCACACACAAACACATGCCTTCTAAAAATTTCATTTAAATCCTTTATTTTATAATTTTTTTAAAAAAAGATTTATTTATTTTAGAGAGCACAAGCAGGAGGGGGAGAGGGAGAGAGAATCCCAAGCAAACTTGAGCTCAGCGTGGAGCTCGACTTGGGGGCTTGACACGGGGTGCCATCTCATGGCATTCAGATCATGAGCTGAACTGAAACCAAAAGTCAGATGCTCAACCGACTGTGCCACCGAGGCGCCCCTTCATTTAAGTCCTTTAAATGAAAGTCAAGTTAGTTCCTGAATGAGAATTATCTGGAGATTCCTTGAGATGAGTATTAACATAAGGCTAAGAAAAGAAACACTTGTAGGTTCTACTATCACATACTGGTATAGGCTCTGCAAATTCTATCAGATGTAAATGAATTGCCTTTTTCTCTAAATAGACACAAAATCCTTTCCAGGACAATGCAAGCATAAAAGCATGCTTCCAAGTCAGCACAGTTAAATCATTCTATAAAGACAACTCTCTCTCCTCTCCTGAGGCGTCCCTTTTAGTAATGTGTCCCAGTGTTGGTTTCACTGTTCCCGAGATCCATGAAGCTTCCTGGGCATCTACTCTAATTCCTCATGCACTCACTTATGCCTTTCTATTCTTAGACAATAGCTAGCAATTTTTATAACATTCTTATATATATTTAACTGTTATCAGAGCTTTTTCTCATCCCTCCATTCTTCAGGCTATACAAGCCAATATGTTTTTTAAAAATTTTATTTCTCATGAGACTTATTGCCTCAACTTAATTAAGAATAATTAAAGTTATTCTTAGGGCTCTTTCTAAGCCATCCTTATCACACTTCCATTTCAATTAAATCTCCATTCTGCAAGGCCCTAAGCAAGACCCCAATACTCTCACCAAAGCAAGAATGATATTCCATATGGTGGGAGGTGAATTTATAGTCCCTGAACATAAGCTCCTGTTTTTATGTCTGTCATAAAGCACTCTTTATGTTCTGTCAGCTGCACCCTTCATAATTTATTTCTTTAAATTACTTCTGCAAATTTCCCCCTTCCCAGTAGCTGCTTCTCAGAGAAAGTATCTAATAACAATTTTAATATCTTCTGGTCATCATCACAAAATCTTGTTTGTTTGTTTGTTTTTTAAATCTTCTTTTTGATGCTTGATGGAGATAGTTCTTTAGTAGGATTTTGAAGACAGGGATTACCACACCATCACTGCTTTGTAGTAGCAATGACAGGGCAAAGGGGTATTATAAAGCTCCCCTCTTCACCAGCAGCTTGTCCCCCACTTTGACGGGACAGGGGGTGGGGGGTGGGGGGAGGTTTGGAAAGTTACATTTTTGCAAAGACAAAATACCATGCAAAGAGCCTCATCTTCCTGTCAGATGGCTGCCCTAAGCATCTCCTGCACTGAATTCTAGAGCTAACTTCGAACATGAGTTACATTTTTGGTTAAGATCAGTCTAGTTTTGTAACAATGTGGGCCCAAAAAACCTGTCTTGAGACCACAATTTGTCAGTGTTCTGAGATATTTCAGTGTAAAATATGAATGTTTCTTCTCTTTGATGCATATGAAATAGAAGGTATTCTTTTCTGCCACTTGAGAGCTGAAAAGAGCTTATAAACCTGCTCCCTTTTCCTCAATTAAAAGTTCATGTTCTGGAAATATTTTAACTTTATGTAACCTCTTCTTGTTGAAAATTTATTACAGTTTTTTAAATTTGTTTTTGTACATCCTCTTGCAGCCTGTCACATATTGGAATGCCGCAGTGGAATGGCCCAAGATGTCATAAGCACCATAGGGCAGGCTTTTGAACTCCGGTTTAAACAGTATTTGAAAAATCCTTCTTTGAATACTTCTTGTGAGAGGTCAGCCAAGCGTTCTATAATTATTTGACTTACTGTATTTATTTTGTTTTATTTTAAAATGAATTTTCAAACTAATGAAATGAGTCACTTCTTCTCTTACAAATAGGCAGTTTCAGTACAAACACGTAATGGCATTTTCTATTTTTCTTCCATTTATATTTGTCCAGGTATTTCTTCTTGCTTTGTATCAAAAATAAGGAGACACTCAAAGTAAGAAGGGGTATGCCCTATTTCTCTGCTATTATACAGAGCTATGAATTAAGTAGTATCATAAAATAACAGACAGCAATACATTTCTCAGAATTGTTTCAGTCCCAGATCCCTTGCATACCACTAAAAAAAAAAAAAATCAACACTGAGGAGCAAAATAGTAAGAATCAAATGTCTATAGCAGGAATCACTGTTAATTTGCTGGTTTGCAATGTAAATAGAGGTGCTCCAGCCAACGTGTGGGAGGGCTGGAAGGTGATGGGACCCAAGGATCAGGTTGTTCTATCTGAGGCACAGAGAGTCTGTAAGGAAAGCTGAGCCCTTCAGGCCTGACAGACTCCAGTGTGTGTGGAGTGCAGTGAGGCCTCTGGCTTGCAGAATTCACACCCGAGAGACAAAACTCCCTCTTGGCCACTTTTAAATGCACTCCTCCCCCAGTTAGTTACTTTGTGTATCAGCAAACACTGGGCTTGGAAATCTCCTTTTATAAGGTGGTCTGGGGTAGCAAAGGAGAGGGGGTTACTAGGAGGCCTTGATGTTGAATTTTTCCCAGGGTAACACTTATATCTTAGTGCTATCATTTTGTGACATGTAATGAACCCAACAAAACTATGTGGGTTGTTAGTGGAATCAGTTCAATCCAAAAGGGCTTGATTTATTCTTTTTCATAAGAAACTTTTACTAATTCCAGTTTGGAAGAAAAGTTGTTTGTTTTTTTGTCCTGTTTCAATTTTAAAGCAATGCATGTTTACATAAATCTACCCACTTGCCACATATGGTTCTAATATTTCTTTATGAATCCCGTATACTCCTCCAGATCTGTGCAGACAAGAGAGCTGGCCAGAGCTCTTACTTTATTCATCTTGGTTTAATAAACTGGGCCAGGCCCTCTGCCCAATATCTAAATTTTTTTTTAACAAAGCATTTCCAAAATGGTACAATCAAAGCATGCTGAAGATACTCAGGAAAACTTAATTTTTATACCCTACTGACAAAAATGACTTACATTCAGAGAGTTCAAATATATGTGTCTGTGTGTGTGTGTTTCTTAATCACTGGGAGGAGACACAAAAGCATCACCCTTGGCACTTTTTGTTGGCTTAGCTTACTTTAATTGTCTATGGAAAGCTAAACAACCATCTGGTTGCTTCCATCCAGATGTTTGACATCACTTAAGAACAGCTATAAACTTAAAACATGAGTGCAAAGTTTTTCGGGATGATTTGCATGGTTGTGATCCCTCTACCTCCCCTGTAGCATTTGAATTCCCACCCAGCCTCTTGGGGATTCCTTTTTCCCCTTACAGTGAGGAGGTGCCCAATGATGGTCCCGTGGAGGAGAGAGAAGACCACGAGTACTACAATGAAATCCCCGGGAAGCAGCCACCTGCAGGAGGTGTTTCTGATGTGCGGATCAAAGTCCAAGCCACAGAACAAATGGCTTACTGCCCCATACGGTGTGAGAAGTTGTGCTATTTGGTGAGTGATGTTTTATTGTTACCGGAACTTAGCGATGTGATTCTGTCCTTGCCCCTGGAGAGTTTAATTTAAGAGTTTCCAAATGCTAGTTTAGAGAAAGTATCATCTCCCCCAGTACAGCGCCAGAGAATGAATCATTGTCGGAGCCTGCACTAGATCATTTTCACTCTGAATCCCTGAACCTCGGCCTATGTGGATAACTTCATGTCTCCCTTCGCTGGGAAGACCAGGACTGGCCAACATGGGACGCTCAACATCGCCCTTCCCCGTCTCCAGTCTTGCTCTGTTCTCCTTGCTGCTCATCCTTAGCTACTGCCTCCACAGCCAATCCTGCCCCTGAGCTCCTGACCCCATCGCCTCCTGCCAACCCTCTGCCCTGGTTCTGTCCATCAACCCCTGTCTCGGTCTTTATTTTCTCTTTGTCTACCAGTTATCTCTCTTCCGTCTGCAAATAAATTTGGACTGCTTCAACCAACTCGTAATGTCTTACCTCCTTCTCATCTACCTTTTACCCCACAAACTTCTAGAAAACATTGTCTCTATCCCAGTTTTCACATCAGCACTACATTTCTAAGATCTGAATTCTGCTTGACGTGATAGAAATGACTTTTACTGTGGTCACCAATGGTTCTTTGGTCACCGATGGTTTAATTGCTAAATCAGTTTTCTTCTTCAGTACTCTGAATCTGTCTACAATCTGCCTCTTCCTTTTTTTTTTTTTAGACATCTTCTGTCATCTTCTAAAGCAGTTCTATTCTTTTTTTTTTTTAAATTTTATTTATTTATTTGACAGAAATGACTTTTACTGTGGTCACCAATGGTTCTTTGGTCACCGATGGTTTAATTGCTAAATCAGTTTTCTTCTTCAGTACTCTGAATCTTTCTACAATCTGCCTCTTCCTTTTTTTTTTTTTAGACATCTTCTGTCATCTTCTAAAGCAGTTCTATTCTTTTTTTTTTTTAAGATTTTATTTATTTATTTGACAGAGAGAGACACAGCGAGAGAGGGAACACAAGCAGGGGGAGTGGGAGAGGGAGAAGCAGGCTTCCCGCTGAGCAGGGAGCCCGATGTGGGACTCGATCCCAGGACCCTGGGATCATGACCTGAGCCGAAGGCAGATGCTCAACAACCGAGCCACCCAGGCGCCCCTAAAGCAGTTCTATTCTTATAGAAAGGTTGAAAGAATTACGCAGTGAACGCTCATACACTCACCATCTAGAGTCTACAATTAACTACAATTAATATTTCACTAAATTTGCCCTGTCATCCTGTGTAGCTCTCTCTCATCCATCAACACATCTTATTTTTGGTGTGTTTCAAAGTAAGTGACATTTTTCTTTTTTTAAGTTTAAATTTTGTTAGTTAATATATATAGTGCCATATTCGTTTCTGGACTAGAATTCAGTGATCCATCACTTACATACAGTACCCAGTGCTCATCACAGCAAGTGTCCTCCTTAATAGCCATCACCTGTCTAGCCCATCCCCCACCCACCACCCTCCATCAACCAACAGTATGTCCTCTGTCATTAAGAGTCACTTATGGCTCATTTCCCTCTTTCCTTTCTTCCCCCCTTCCCATATGTTCATCTGATTTCTTTCTTAAATTCCACATGTAAGTGAGATCATATGGGATTTGTTTTTCTCTGACTAATTTCACTTAGCATAATACACTCTGGCTCCATCCATGTCATTGCAAATGGCAAGATTTCATTCTTTTTGATGGCTGAATAATATTCCATTGTGTATATATATATATATATATATATATATATATCGCACATCTTCTTTATCCATTCTATCAGTTGATGGACCTTTAGGCTCTCTCCATAGTTTGGCTATTGTTGATAATGCTGCTATAATATCTTTTCTTTATATCTTATTTTCTTCCACTCCCTCCCCTGCAAACCCAAGCCCTTGCCCTTACCACCCTTTCTCTGTCTTTGGCCTTGCCCTTGGTTTCTCTTCTGGCAGAACATCTGTATACAAACTCCTCCAGCTTCTCTGTTTTCAGCCATTACCTATTTCTCCAGCTATAATGCCATAAGCATTACATTGCTTGTGTTAAGGTTGAACTCAGCATTTTCTCCTTGACTCCAAAGCACATTCCTCTACTGATTTACTCATGTTTATTAATGGCACTGCTATTTTTTCATTAATCTGCAGTCTTTTGTTTTTCTCACACTCTGGGCTCCATATCAACTCAGTCTTCAAGACCTAGGAGTCTACCATGAAATCTTTTGAATCTACCCAACCTCTCACATTCCTATTGCATCTTTCTAAGTTCTGGTCTTCACTTGCTCACATGATTCTGAAAACCCCTTCCTTGTCTCCGGTTTCGTTCCCCCAAACCCTTCTGCATGGTACTGCCAAATTAATCCTTCTGAAGGATAGATATTGCCCTTTTCAAAGGCATCAGTGATCTCATTCCATTATTGAAGGCATCTATCTATCTTTCTATCTATCTGTCTTTGGGATCATTGCAATCCTTTGATGGATGAGACTTTCAAGGACGAAAAGTGAGCCTGGCATAAACCTCAGTAGAGTAGGGCTCCAATCTGTCACTGTTAGATAGGGGTTTGCTAAATACTGAGTGTTTATACAAGTGTCCTGGAAATCACACTTTCTGGCTGAAACTTGGATTGAGTCCCGGAATGGGACCTCCCAAGCAAAAGCAGTAACCCTAAGGCTATAGGCCTCATATTGGCAGTCTTTATGACTCCCCCGCTTCAAACCCACCTCTGCAGCCCCCAACCAATGCACTATCACAGGAGTCTCTGCTCCTCACCCAAAATCCCAGTTTCCTGTCAGACACTTCCTGTGTCCGAAAGTGAAGTCATCTGCCATATTCTGCTGGGAGCATTACTAGTGTTCTGTTTGTTCTGTTTGTTTTTTGAAAGTATGACTGTATACCACATTTGTAAGTGTTTCACAATTTGTTGTTTGTGCAGCCTGGGAACTCCAAGTGTAGCAGTGTGTACGAGAACTGTTTAGAACAAAGCCGGGCAACAGGTAGGTACAATTGTCCTTCCCCATCTGCCACTCTCCTTGTTCCTTGCAAATATTATGGTTGTGTGCGGCCCTGGCTCTTAAATACTTCATGGGGAAGGCAGGTGTATATAACCAAACACATAATGCTTTGGCTGCAGGTTTCCCACGTTCTGAGAGGCCCAGAATTACCACATGTGTGTGACTTGGAAGGTTCATGGTTTTGCCTCATGCTTGTGTGCTCTACCACACCATCATTCTACCTTAGGAGGTCTTGCACTGCTTTCACATCATGAAAAGTCTTCCTGGAAAACTGCTTTCTCTGCTTACAACTCAAGGGAGTTCCACTTCAAAGAAGATCAGACATTAAGCTAATATGAAAATTGATGCATGTCAAATCCATTAGGATTAAGATAAAATCTTTAAGCAGAAAACAAAAAGAAATCTGAAATGTGAGAGTCCCAGTTAGGGGCCCATGTACCCCATACTTCCCAGGGCATTAAGTGTCTTATTACTGCCCGTGATAATTGGTGTTGGGCACAACTTTTCCACAACACAAATGTAGAATGTCAACCATCAGATTGGAAATATGTTTTCATGAGTTCCTAGATCACTGCTAGTTAGTCATTTAATTCTTATAAATCGTTGAAAGTACTTACTTCTTTGGGAAGCAAAGTTCTGCAGCATTAGAGGGTGAGAGAATTGGATGGTATAAGTAATGGGGTGGAGGATAAAGTTGGATAACCACACTTAGGGACTCAAATTAAATTAGCAGAAACTTGACATCTAGAAGGTAGTCACTTCTAAAGATACTTTTATACTTCTTACGGAATTATGCCAATGTAATTTACTAATTTTATTATTATTATTATTTGAGAGAAAGAGAGAGTGGAGGGGTGGGGGCAGAGGGAGAGAGAGAGAGAGAATCCAAAGCAGGCTCTGCCCAGCATGGAGCCTAATGCAGGGCTCTATCCCATGACCCTGAGATCATGACCTGAGCTGAAATCAAGAGTCAGATGCTTAACTGACTGAACCACCCAGGCGCCCCTAATTTTTATTATTTCTTATACAAGGGGGATACATGAAAATTTATCATTTTAGGTACAGCTCTGATTACTATCTTTCTCCACTGTGCAAAAATAATAGGAGTAATGAGCTAAGACAGTATTGTTAATTCTTTAAAAATATGGTTCTTTTTTGATAGATATTAAAATTCCCTGCCATTCTTTAAAGTCATTTACAACTTTAACCTAACTTTTAATAATACGACTAAAACAAATTAAATTAATGGGAAGTGTAAATGTCTTTTTACAACTATGCTCCCTAGGAGCTATATTCCTCCCTCCCTCCTTTCCCTTACTTGGAAATCCCTAACCTAAGGATTTAATAGTCAGGAACATATCACATATGCCCAGTCTTACAGTCATTTCCTACCTGTGTTGAAGCTCACTTGGAAATATCTCTACATCCTGTTTCATCTCATTCTATATTCATTTATACAACACTTCACTCAGTGGCTATTTACGAGGACCTCCTGTGGGTCTGGCACTATGCAAGGAAGTAGGAATGGAATCACAACCAATACTCATGTTGTTTGCGGTTTAAGCAGGAAGACACACCTTAAGCAAATGCTTACAAATAGGATGACTGTTTCAAAGCTCAACATGTCATGGGAACAAATAACAGGGAAACCTAACTTGATCTGAGGGGCTATAGAGGGTCTCCCTAAACTCTCTACAAGCAAACAACCAAACCAGGACCTGAGGGAAGAGTGGGAATTATCCAGGCACAGAGAAGGAAATGGGGAAGGAGGGGCAAGAGAGGGAGAGAGAGAGAGAGAGAGAAAAGTATAAATGGGAACCAGAATTCCTGGTGTGCCGGGACCACTTCCTGGATCACTGCAGAGAGAAGACAGGGGAGAGAGAGAGTCTTGGACCTAGACAGAGTCCTAAGGAACTCCAGAATTTTGGGTCCTATACAGATCCCTCTCTCCCAGCTCATCCTCCCCCTTTCCATTAAATAGTCATCGTGGCACATCCTCCTGTCCTCAGTCACCTGGCTTCTGAAGGCAACTCACAGAAGGAAAACCCTCGCCCTTCCTAGAATGATGTAACATATGCTAAATCACAACACGACCATTGGAGAAAAGGAGCATGGTCTCCTTTTTTCCCATCAAGAACCACAAGACATACATTTATGAAGGAATTAATGAATATAGAGGTACCATCTCAATCTTATTCAAGATACTTCTTTTTGTAAGTGTAACCTTGTCATAGAATCCAATCTATTGTTTCTGTTTATCTTGGTTTTAATTCTCCTTCAAACCCAACAAACAATGTAACCCCTTATTCTTTCATGGTATATATATGCCTTAAGCCAATATAAGCAGATCCAAACTTATGAACAGACTTTATTTGGAGCCTGGAATATGCTTTTCCAGAATTAGTTAATTCCAGGATTAATTTTAGCCATGATGGCTATCTCCTAGACAAGTGCACCATGTTCTTGAATTCTGGTTTGCTTGTACTAGAGCTTAAATGTATATTTTGGAATGACAAATACAACGATAGAAGATTCTATTGCAAGTGCCTGTTCTTCAGTTGCACTCCAACTGTAGGATAGCCTAGAACCAGTACAGAGCTACCTTCCTTGTGGTGGCCTTGAGCTAACAGTTCATAGATGGTAACCTTTCAGAATCTTGGGGAGGCAAGAGATGGTGTTTGCAGTTTGGAAAAAGTCCTCCAGCTGGATACTTTCTTCCCCTGAAAATCACAGAGCTACAACATTGTTTCCTTAGAAAAGCAGGTTCTAAGTTCCAGTGAGGAGCCAGAATGCTAGGAAGCCATCTCCCTAGACCTCAGCCCCTAAGACCATAGAGGGATAGAAGAACTCACCCCCTGCTCCAGGGGCCACAATAATTAAGGCCACTCCTATTGTGGTAGGAAGGGCTTTGCTACTGTGGTGTCCATTCATTCACAGACACCCAGAAATCAGGTGTTCCTAGCTTGGGGCCTGCCTGTGACTACTTGGGCCTATGTTTAAAAACTATTCTGAAATTCTTGACCAGTGAGCAAATTAATAGCAGTTGCCAGAATAGCAAATACATGTATTTTATGGCTTTTCTTAGAGATTTATACATAAGCATTTGAGAGACTCCTATACAAATAGTCTCAATAAGATTTGGCTTTTTTCCTCCCAAGACATTTATTTATTCAAATACTGATTTAAAACTTGAATTCCAGTATATTATAAATACTGTAATAGGCTTCTGCTGGTTGAAGAAGTTAATTATATTTATCACCAGACTTATAAAAGAAGTCTATCCCTACTATTAAATTCCCTTATGGAAAAAATTAATTAGCAAAACAGAATAATGTTTCCCTGACCCTCAAGTTAAAATGGAAATAAGATACTTTTAATCAAAAAGACATCAAATTCCTGCAAACCCTAAAGGTTTGCACTTAAAAACTTTGGTACTCAAAGTATATACACTGTGTACACTGTGTATTTGTTTTCTGCCACTGATCTTCTCTTCGGCAGGTTGGATAGGCTCTTGGAGTAATAGTTGGCAAAAAGAAATTTTGGAATGCATAATGGCTGGCATATGTGGTTAAGCTCTTGTCATCCACACACTTGACCCAAGAAAGATTTTAAGTTTGGGTATAGAGTGAAGTACATATATATTTTTTAAGGCAACATTGCTGAGTTAAATATAATAGTGCAGTTGAAGAAAAGGAATGGTCGTTTTCAAGAGAGACTGGGAAGGATATGAATGCCTTTGTGTAATCCTGTGGAATGGTAAACCTGATGTGGTTAGCTCATGCCATGCTCTCTAAGGGACAGATGAGTCAATGCCCCGTGCTAAAGGTTGATTCAGAACATAGTGCTGAGAAAGGAAAACCAGGTAGACATTCAGCATCTGTTCATTCTGCTGACAAACATTTTTCTTTTGAGCACCCGCTTCACACCAGGCATTGAAGATGCAGAAAAGTCACAGATAAATAGGTTCTAGTCTCTTTTTAAGGACTCGAGGAATTTGCAGTCTCAAGGGGAAGACAGACAGACAAGGAAACAGATACCTACATTATGTTATGGAGTGGTACCTGACCCAGCCTGGGGGAGGGAAGGATTAAGAGAAAGGCTTCTTGAAGGAGGTGGATTCAGAACAGAATCTTAAAGGACAAATAGGGATTAGGTACAGAAAGGGATGGCAGGAGATAAGAACCATGTGCAGAGCCCCAGCATCAATGAATAAATAGGTAACTGAGCAGCTATTATCTATTAAGCAGTCACTATTCTCAGTGAGTGTCTCACCCACATTCTTTCATTTATCCTCACAACCATATTTTAAGCTAGGCACCCCCATTTTACAGATATGAAAACTGACACTTAGAGACATTAAGTAACTTGCCCCAGGCCACACCAACAGTAAGAAGTATCACAGGGATTTGAACTCAGGTCCATGTTAATTTAGAAGCAAACTTCTTACAAACACTTTTGATCATAGTCTACTTTGAGTAAATTTTTATCAGCAGACACTCCTAAATAAGTGATGATTCAATCACATATAAGTTATATATATACGCTAATATGTTATACGTGTCTTATAACACACACACAAAAATTGAACATTTCAAAGTTAGAGTTAACGATAATAAAACATTTAAAAAATGTCTTGCTCGAACCATGAAAGACTATGGACCCTGAGAAACAAACTGAGGGTTTTAGAGAGGAGCAGGGTAGGGGGGTGGGTTAACATGGTGATGGGTATGAAGGAGGGCACGTATTGAATGGAGCACTGGGTGTTATACACAAACAATGAATCATGGAACACTACATCAAAAACTAATGATGTACTCTATGGTGACTAACATAACATAATAAAATAAAATTTAAAAAATGTCTTGCTGACATTCATAGACAATGTTAATATGTTACATTAAAATATGTTAATATGTTAATAAAATTATGCTAATATGTTATGCATGTATTATAACACACACAAAACAGACAATTTCAAAGTTAGAGTTAATGATAATAAATTTAAATTATCTTTAGAAAATGTCTTGCTAATTATAGTGGCTGAATACTATCATTAGATAATATCTCAATATCTCAAGATAATATCTAAGTGTATACTGGGATGTACACTGGGATGTATACTGAGATAATGTGTCCCAATATACATTTAGAGCATTTACTGACAAAGAAAATAAACATAAATCCACATTTTGAATCTTAATCATTTTAACTTTTGGGAGGCCAAAGTTCTGATCTAATTAGATCGTTCTTGTTTATAAGCTCATAATGCAGCTGAGGAAGAGTTTGTAATAAAAGAATGATCTTAAATCTTTGATTTATTTGCAGTGATCTTTTAGCCACTTATCCATTTACGAAAGTAAGTTTAGTTTAAACTAGATAATATAATTCATAAATCCATGTAACCAAGCAAATGGAGGAGGCTGTCATGTGTTGTAAAATGCAACAAAGAAGTGAGGTGCCCTGACCCCCTGTCCTTCTTTAGAAATCGCACGCCTCCCTCAGGATATCCCACATACGGAGTGTGATGGGGGACAGCATGATGCCCAATAGCTGGCAGACCAAGAGAAAAGAAGGAGTAGGTAGTAAGGCTGTAGTCTTCTGACTGGGCTTCCCCTATTTGGTGTACCCTTGAGTTTCTGTATTTTATAAGAATTATAGCACTATTCATCATGATGTGAAATCCAATATAAAGTTGGTCCTTTGGGGGCCACATTAAAGGGGTTTAATGACGGAGACAATAAAAGGACTGATGTTTTATGGTAAGACAATGGAATGTCAGTGTCACCACTTCAGGTCAGCCTCGTAGGAATCTTGTAGCACATACGGACAAAACTATAAATGTACTTGTTTAAACAGAAAAACAAAAACATTCTGTCCTGGCATTCTGAGGACAGAACCATCTGGATGGTACAAAATACCTCACGCCATTAGGTACTGAAATATGGTGCTAGCATGCATTCATTCAGTAACTATTTGTTGTCATCTTATGTGCTGGGTATGTGCTAGGAGACAGGATCCCTCCCTATCTTCATGGAACATGCAGTCTAGATGCAGCTCAGGCATTAAATAAAATGGCATAATAAAATTAATTACTCTTGTGAAAAGGGCTCCAAAGGTGAAGAACAAACTTCTAGGAAAGCAGAGAGACTTAGTGTAGTCTGAGAATGTCAGAGAAGGCTCTATTGAGAAGAGAGATGTTTAAACTGACACCTGAAGAGGGAGAGTCACAGAGAAGGGGTGGGAAGAGCATGTCAATCAGAGAAGATGGCCTTACGGTGGAGATTATCCTTCAAGAAGGTCATGTGACTGAGGGGCATGGGGGTACAAGGGAAGCTGGGTAGGCGGAACCAGGGCGTGGGGCTTGTTGAAGAGTTTGAGGTTCATCCAAAGAGCAATGGAAGGCAGTTAAGGGGTTTTTAAACCACTGAAAAATATGATCAGATTTCAGTAAAAAGATCATTTTGGCCACGGTGTGTAAAATAGAATGGAAGAGGAGGGAAGAGTAAGAGGGAAGAAGGAGATTACCCGAGGGGTGAGTTCTTTCCATTAAATACCAGAATAAACATCAACAGTTGGTTTGAGGCTGAGCTTGGCAGAACAAAACTTTGGGCATAGAGAGAAGACAGACATTCCGTTCTTAATAATTTAAGTAACGAGGCTTTTTTGAAAAACAGTTTAGGGGCGCCTGAGTGGCTCAGTCATTTCGGCATCCAGCTCCTGACTTTGGCTCTGGTCATGACCTCAGGTCGTGAGATTGAGGCCCATATTTGGCTTCACAGTGGGTGTGGAGCCTGCTGAAGATTCTCTCCCTCTGCCCCTCCCACCCCAGCTGGTGTGTGCATGCTATCTCTCTAAAAAAAAGTGGGGCACCTGGGTGGCTCAGTGGGTTAAGCGTCCGACTCTTGGTTTCAGCTCAGGTCATGATCTCAGGGTCGAGGGATTGAGCCCCACATTGCGCTCTGTGCTCAGTGCAGAGTCCACTTGTCCCTCTCCCCCTGCTTGCTCTCTCTCTCTCTCAAATAAATAGAGAAATATATAAAAATCTTTTTAAAAAGGCAGTTTAAATAATAGATATTCAAGTTCTGTATGGCACGTGTGTTTTCTCAGTTCCTGGACTGCAGCCCTGAGCAGTGTTAAGTGCAGGTTTATGTTGTTTGCTGGACAGTTGGCTCTCTTTTTTTCTCTGGCGGTTCCTCTTGGGTCTTCCTGGTTTGTTTCCTGTCTGGTGTTGAAGCACTGGGTCAGCTGAGGGGCCGGCAGGGAGAGTCTGGGAGGCCAAGGAAAGGGTGCTTTCTCTCAAAGCCTGGTGCTTATCTTGTTTTTACAGGTCAAATCTAGAAGTCAGTATTCAAATCTGTATAGGATGGGGGTGGCTCTTCCCTTCCTATCAGTTCTAGACTCAAACATGATTTTACTTACTGTTTACAAGGTAAAAGTATGATACGTTGATCATTAATCACTATAGGTAATACACTGGAGAGAGGAGTGCGGTCCCATCGAGATGCCTCATTAATGAAGCACACCTGTCGAGTGGATTTCTTCAATGACCCCTGCTACATAAATACACAGGCTCTTCAAAGTACACTTGCCTCTGCCCCAGATCAAAGCTCAGCTCACCCCTTGGGGAGCCCATGGCACCGTGAAAGTAAGTAGTTGCTCACCATCTGTATTAGCTTCCTGTGGCTCCTGTAACAAGTTACCACAAACTGGATGTCTTGAGGCAACAGAAATTTATTCTTTCACAGTTCTGGAGTGGTTCCTTCTGGAGGCTCTGGAGGAGGATCCATTCCATGCCTCTCTCGTAGCTTCTGGTTGGCAATTCTTGGTGTTCCTTGGCTTATAGACACGTCAGTCTCTGCCTCAGTCTTCACATGGCTTTCACCTCTACGTCTCAAACCTCTCTCTCCTGTGTCTTTGAAGACAATACCTTTCTCTTCTAGGTCGGCCCTAAATCCAGGAAGATCTCATCTTGAGATCCTTAACTTTATTACACCTGCAAAGACCCTTTTTTCAGATGAAGCCACATTCACAGGGACTAGGGATCAGGAATTGAACGTATGGGGGCCACTGTTCAACTAACCACATTGTCTCTCATTTTCAGGAAGGCTCTTTCATTGGCCTCATTTTCAGGGAACAAAAAGGATTATTTCTTACTAATTGTGGAGATGTTATGGATTTCAAGGTTTTGGGACTTTGATTTTGAGTAATCTTTTCAGATACTTTAAGGGCTCTCAACTTTTGGTTTCTGCTGTGTGCTTTTGCTGAAGGAAGGACTGTCAAAGCCAGGAGATAATTTTGAATTTGTTGGCTTGCATGAGGAACAGTGACTATTACTTGGCTCTGCTTAATGATGGTTTTAATTTTATTCATCTCAAAACTTCTTGGTGATGTCATCTATACAGCACTAAAATAAGATGGCTTTCTTCAGCCATATACTCTGAGTAAAATACGGTAAGACAAACATCATTTTCCTGCTAAATTGCTTCCAGGGATAAATACATAAACGGGAACATAAATAAATAAAAGCAAAACAAACCAAAAGCCTACAATCAATTAAAAAATAAGTAAGCCAAAAAATGCTTTTTATAAAATATTGTCTGTTGGGTTCAAATTTGGGTGAGCCAAATTTGGTTCACTCCAAAGACAGAGAGCCAGTCATTCAGAAAGTCCTTTTGCTAGCCGAGGAAGTCTCTCCAGACTGCCAAGGGCAACTTTCCAGCTGGTGTGAGCAATGACAAGATGAAATTTAGAAGGAGATTTTGCTGAGCCTGGGCTTCATCAGACCACCTTAACTCCTAAACTAAGAAACAAAGGTCCTCATTGCCCAGCCACGTGACAAGTAAGCCATCTTCTTGTAAGCTTTCTAAGATCAGTCTTGGCACCCAAACAACCTGGTTGGATTCTCTGGAAGCAAACACTGAGATGGGGATTTGGCATGTGTGTGGGGGGGTCTTTATTGGGATCACTATCAGGAAGGGAGGGGGAGGAAGTAGGCTTGGGCAGAGGGAGAAGCAGGCCTGACAGAGCCTCAGCTAACCCTACTGAGGGTTTGTGGGGCCCATCTTAGTTGTCCCACCCTGGGCCCACAGGGCTGGCCCTTTACCCCACTTGTCTCAGTCTGTAGGTATAGGCTGTGTGAGGAAAGGCAAGCCTTTGGGCAAGGCAGCTCTCTGCAGGTGAGGCAGACCCTGAAGGGGCAGTCAGCAGCAGGCTGTCTGATGACATCTGGGGACTTGGTCCTTCACTGAAGAGTTATCAGGGCAGTGCATCTCCGTGTTCACCACAGAGGGTATCTTGTGTCACGGATGATGGGATATGCAGTCAATCCATATTTTTGCACAGAACTTAACTGTTCAGTGTACAGTGACCAGTGTGGATAAGGCAATATTTGTTGGAGGGACAGTTTTTTGAAAAAAGTTCCTGGAACTCAGGTATTAAAAGTAACTTGCTAAGAATGTATACTTGATAGCTTCCATTTCATGGACTTTTCAAAGCAACAATGAATTATTAGAAAACTCATTTAGTGGGTGGCCCAAATTAGGTGATCTGGGATATTCGTTGATTCATAACTGCAACTCCTTTATAAACAGATCTCTAATGTTAAAAATATTTGTAACTCAGCCAGGATATGGAAGCAACCTAAGTGTCCATTGATAGATAAGGAAGGGGTGTGTGTGTGTGTGTGTGTGTGTGTGTTATGGAATATTACACAACCATAAAAAGGATGAGATTGTGCCATTTGCAACAACACGGATGGACCTTGAGAGTATTAATCAGAAATAAGTCAGACTGAGAAAGACAAATGCTGTATGATTTCACTCATATGTGGAATCTAAAAAGAAAGCAAATGAATAAACAAAAGAAAGAGCAGAATCAGACCTATAAATACAGGGGAAAAAACTGAGGGTTGCCAGAGGAGAGAGGGTTGAGGGGATGGCAAAATGGGTGGAGGAGAATGGGAGATACAGGCCTCCAGTTATGGAGTGAATAAGTCATGGGAATAAAGGCACAGCATAGGGGGAAAAATCTGTATAATTTAAGCAAAGAAACGTTGCCTTTTGCCATAGACAACTGAAGGTAAAAATCAACCTATAATAACATTCCTGTCATTAGTTGAAAGTAAATAAAGCCAGTTTTGTCCAAAATTATATTGTCAAAATGTGTTTTCACTGATTTCAGCCTTCTTTTTTCATCCTTTTGCCTCTCCCTGCATTGGTGGCAACATGTTTAATAATTTAGGCTTCGGGTACTTTTTCACTCTATTTCCTACTAGGCTATAATATACCATAGCCCTCCTGGGCTTCTTGCTACCATTGCTCTCTCCAAAAAAATTAATTCCAACTCCAAAAGTATAAATAATGTTGATTTAATAAAAATGAAGTAAGATGGGCTAGGGATAACTTTATACATACTTTTTTGCAAAATGTCTTAAATACACTTTTTAACCTTTTCTCCTTAATGTTTCCTGCTATTTCTTTCCTTACTTCCTCAAACATCTTCGTTAGCTTCTTTAGACCTACTTAGCCTCCCTTTTCCAGACAGAAGCTTACTGATTAGTTCAGTAAGACAAAACAAAACCAAATCTAGAGACATGAACCTAGTATCTCTCAAGCATGCCTCCTGGGCTCCTCAAACCATCCTATCACACCACCAATATAAGAAAAGCTCAACACAATCTTTATTTATATCAAACATGGCAGAAGGAAATTACTAGCATTGATATGATCTAATTTGTGTATCAATTTATTGTTTCAGTATAAGCAGTCATAACAAAGAAACTCTGTCGATATAATAGTGTAAAAAAGAGCAAAGTTTACTTTCCCAGTAGCCCACAGATTGGTGGTACAGGACTGGTAAGACTGACTGCTTTGTGATTCTCAACACCTGGCTTCTATCTCCGGTCTAAGGTGTTGCATCTCTGATCTAAGAGTTTCAGTATGGTCTGAGTTCTTTAATCTGGTCTAAGGTGTTTAATCTCTCGTCTACAAGCTTGGGCTCTAGCTATCACATGAGCATTCAGCCAGTAGGAAGACAGAAAGGCAAGAAGAGTGTGCATGCATGCATTCCTTGAAAAGACAGGACCCAGAAGTGGCGGGCATCGTTTCTTTTCACCTGCCCTCGGCACAGCTTAGATATGTGGTCATACCTAGCTTCAAAGGACCTAGAATAGTTGTTCTGGCTGGGTGGCCGTGAGCCCAGCTATAACTTAGGAACTCTCTAACGTCATGCAAGGGAGAACAGATATTGGTATACAACTAACTGCCTGCTGCAAATATCCATGAGCTGTTCTTTTCACATAGAACACATTTGCCCTCTCCCAAAGGGAGACCTTGCAAATATCTCATACAATTAGTGCATCCAGCTTAAAGCCCATGACATCTGGATGATGTGAAGTCCTCTTGATCAAGATTGGATGGGGATCCTTATTATTTGCCAAGTTGTCTGTCCCTTCCCACACCCAAAATTAGTGCTGAAAAGAGGGATAAGATAACTATAATAAAAAACATATGTTCACAAAAGGGAAGCACGCAAGACACACAGGGGTCACTGGTACATAGCAATAACCGAATCCCGTCAGTCAGGAATTGTGGAAGCCTCCCTGAGCTGGAAGTAGAGAAAATGATTTGCTTGGACTCTGGTTCAGCTTTATGAGTGGAATCTCCTTGTCCATTGTTATCTGTGGGCCTGGGCTGTGTCCTTTGGGTTGTTCCCGTCATTATGCTCCATGGACACATCTAAAGTCCATGTTTGAGAAAGCGCATTTCTTAGGGGCATCATCACCACGTTTGCAGCCTACTTTCTGTAGGTGTGGGCTTGATAAATTTAGAAGCCAAAAGCCATAGACAAGGAGGGATTGTGATTCATTGGCAATGTAATTTCTTTAAAAACTTAGTAGGATTCTACTTTATTTGCTTAGAGTCAGTTCCTCATGAAATTTCCTACAACGTTACTTTACTATCCTCCTATTGCCTGAAGGACACCTTCTCTCTTTCCTGTTATTGGTAATTTTTGTGTTCTCTCTTCTTGATCAGTGTTCTTTGAGATTTATGAATTTAACTGATCTTTCTAAAGGACCCAGGTTTTGGTTTCATTTTTTCTATTGTTTTCTATTTTCTGGTTCATTGATTTCCATTTTTATCTTTTTTTATGCTTTCCTTCTACTCTTGGTTAAATTTTCTCTTATTTATCCAGAGTGTACTGTATATTCTTCTATTGGCTTTATAGTTTTATTTCCATAATAAAATATTTACTGCACATGAACTTTATATTTTCTATGAGATAGGGGGTCTAACTTCATTTTGCCTATGTAAGTGATCCAATTTTGCAAACACCATTGACTAAATAATCTCCTCTTTTTCTAATGTCACTTTCCATTGGACTAGATTCTTTCCATGTATGTGAATCTGTTTCTGGGCCTTATTGCCCTACTTACGTGTTCTATACCAGTATATTAATTAGTATGGCTTTGTAATATATCTTAATAGACATAATTCTTCCTTTATATTACAAATAATTTTTCTCTGGGTACTATCTCAAACTTTCACTTATTATTGACATTATACCAACTTTTTAGACACTTTGCAGAGGTGAATGTATTTTTCCCCTCAATAATTCAAATAAATTCCTATTTTATAATTTTCACAC